ACAATTGACTAATATTTATTTTACATTTCTAATACGGCTTGCAAAGCAAATCATAATTCAAGACAACATATCAACTAATGGTTATAACTTGCAACTAATAATAATTGCACATTCTCTATTAGGATAAGAAGTTAAAATCAAAACTATCAAATATATATTGAAAATCTCCAAATAAAAATAACCATGGGTTGGTTCAAGATTAGAGTCACAATTTGGGGTAGTAAGAGCAGCCATGGAAGCTAGTAAGTCTTTCATACAGCGCACTACNTGGTTCAAGATTAGAGTCACAATTTGGGGTAGTAAGAGCAGCCATGGAAGCTAGTAAGTCTATCATACAGCGCACTACTACAAAGGATATGATTTCAGCTAAGGCTATACTACAGTTCAAAAAAAAAAAAAAAGCTAAGGCTATACTCCAAAATTGTCAAACTAATTCGAGTATGGGCCATCTGTCCGTCTAGATTCAACTACAGATCATAATTTATAAAAGAGCAGAACCTTATAAAACGAGATAAATAGATCGNACTACAAAGGATATGATTTCAGCTAAGGCTATACTACAGTTCAAAAAAAAAAAAAAGCTAAGGCCATACTCCAAAATTGTCAAACTAATTCGAATATGGGCCATCTGTCCGTCTAGATTCAACTACAGATCATAATTTATAAAAGAGCAGAACCTTATAAAACGAGATAAATAGATTGATTCAGAAAATGAATTTCAAAAAGCACATATGCATATGTACATTCTTGCATATTTACAGACATACAAACAAATACACACACACACAAAAATGTGAGTGTCACAGTCAATGTTACATCAACAAATTAGGTTGCAATCAAGCTCATTAATCCACACCAAAACAAACCTAATGCAGTAGAAATTAGACCAACAATAAAAGCGACCAACTAGAAAGCAAAAAAATACACACAANTTGCATATTTACAGACATACAAACAAATACACACACACACAAAAATGTGAGTGTCACAGTCAATGTTACATCAACAAATTAGGTTGCAATCAAGCTCATTAATCCACACCTAAACAAACCTAATGCAGTAGAAATTAGACCAACAATAAAAGCGACCAACTAGAAAGCAAAAAAATACACACAAAAAAAAAACGACCAAGAAATATATAAGATCGAGTGAGACAGAGAGAGAGAGAGAAACCCTGAGAGGGTGTAGACCAGCTTTGAGGTCGCGGGCTTGGCGTTCGCGATCTTCGGCTTCTCTATCTGTAGTTGTGGAGGGATCGACGGCCAACTGGGTTTTGGAGAAGTTTTGATTGTTCTCAGCTTCGTTCTTCTCTGCTGCAACTTCCATTTAGTTTTTCTCACTTCCACAAATACAAACCCTAGTAGCTCCCTACAGATGTATCTCCTTCAATCCTGATTCTCTTTTTGTGGAGGAGGGAGGAGAAGAGAGAGAAAAATTGAACAAAGTATCCCGAGTCAATAAGGAAAATGCTACGTGCATCTTCAAAAAAAAAAACAAAAATTCAATCCAACGGTGATAACACGTCGTTTCTATCTAAATTTTATCATCCAATTGAAAAATCATAATTAAATAAAATGAACCCAACCAATACTGGTCAAAAAAAACAATTACTCCACCAACATCTTTTAGGTGAAAAAAAGGGGATTGTTTGGTAAGACAAAGTTTAGTTATCTAAGTCTCTATTATGGATTTAAATTTTTATTGAAATGTAAATCTTGATTTAATTGGTATATGGGTTGAAAGATTGATTCATGCACCTGGGGTTGCCCTCGGTTCTCCCTAAACACATGAGCCTGAGCGATATGAGCGCGTCTCTATCCATCGAGAATAGCTCAAAATTTTCCTCCGTTATATTTTTAAAATGAACCTCACTACTCTTATGTGTTGATATTTGGATGCAGTAGTTATGAAAATTGTGGGTTCATTTTGCCCACATTTAATTTTTTAATTAGATGACGATACAAAATCATTACAATGTCACCGTTACGTTGAATATTTACTCACTACGGACCATGTTTATTGATTTGATCTATTATGGTCATTAAATTTGATAATAAATATCGAGTTCAAATTTTTTTTTTGATAATAGNTCTCCCTAAACACATGAGCCTGAGCGATATGAGCGCGTCTCTATCCATCGAGAATAGCTCAAAATTTTCCTCTGTTATATTTTTAAAATGAACCTCACTACTCTTATGTGTTGATATTTGGATGCGGTAGTTATGAAAATTGTGGGTTCATTTTGCCCACATTTAATTTTTAATTAGATGATGATATAAAATCATTACAATGTCACCGTTACATTGAATATTTACTCACTACGGACCATGTTTATTGATTTGATCTATTACGGTCATTAAATTTGATAATAAATATCGAGTTCAAATTTTTTTTTTGATAATTGNGTTGAACTTGACATTTGATAGTTCAAAAGTCTCAAGTTTAATTTATTCTAACACTCATTAAAAGTTAGTCATTCTTATTTTTTTTAAAATATGTTCTAAGAGCAACTCCAAGGGGAGTTGCCAAAAATGGGGTGCCAAATATCATTTTGCAACCTTGAACAGTGTTTTGACACCCGTGAACAGTGTTTTTGTTCCAATGATAGGTGTCAAAATAGGGTGTCATTTTAATATTTCAATATTTTTTATTAAAAAATATAATTAAACTTAACGGTTATATTTTAACGGGTATAGTTTTCATAACGATCGCAATTTAACGGATATATTTTTATTGTAAAAATTTAAATTTTCAAATTTTAAATTTCAAATTTTGGCGGACAATTCAAATTTCAAATTTCCAATTTTGTTCGCTGAAATTCAAATTTCAAATTTCAAATTTCAATCCTTGAAATTCAAATTTGAAAATTTAACCGCCAAAATAAAAATTAAAAAAAATATAATTCGTCTATAAATATGATCATTTTTCTCATATTTTTATCCATCTATCTTATATTCTCTCTATAAATTCAATATCTTCTTCTCTTTGACTAATTATCCTCTCATATTTTCATTCATCAAGCTACATAAATCTCTATNTTGGGAAAAACAATTTTCAAAGCAAAAAAAATTGAGTTGTTACTAATTATTGATGATTAGAATATCAAAAAAAACATATAAATTTTTAAATGCTAATTAAAATGGGCCCTATGCAACACATAATTGAACCAACAATAACTTATCAATTGGGTTGGGTCATGTGCATAATTTATCAATTGAGTCATGGGTTGGACCAGTTGGATGTAGATTCCTTTGGAACATTTGTCATTATGAATCAACTAGCAATTTCGTAATTTTTAGACGTAGTTCGGTGGTTGAACTTGACATTTGATAGTTCAAAAGTCTCAAGTTTAATTTATTCTAACACTCCTTAAAAGTTAGTCATTCTTATTTTTTTAAAAATATGTTCTAAGAGCAACTCCAAGGGGAGTTGCCAAAAATGGGGTGCCAAATGTCATTTTGCAACCTTGAACAGTGTTTTGACACCCGTGAACAGTGTTTTTGTTCCAATGATAGGTGTCAAAATAGGGTGTCATTTTAATATTTCAATATTTTTTATTAAAAAATATAATTAAACTTAACGGTTATATTTTAACGGGTATAGTTTTCATAACGATCGCAATTTAACGGATATATTTTTATTGTAAAAATTTAAATTTTCAAATTTTAAATTTCAAATTTTGGCGGACAATTCAAATTTCAAATTTTCAATTTTGTTCGCTGAAATTCAAATTTCAAATTTCAAATTTCAATCCTTGAAATTCAAATTTGAAAATTTAACCGCCAAAATAAAAATTAAAAAAAATATAATTCGTCTATAAATATGATCATTTTTCTCATATTTTTATCCATCTATCTTATATTCTCTCTATAAATTCAATATCTCTTTCTCTTTGACTAATTATCCTCTCATATTTTCATTCATCAAGCTACATAAATCTCTATCCTAATATTTTAGGAGAGATCCTCAATATTGAAGAAGAAGATAATAATGACTTGGATATATTGTATGTTGCAACTAGAAGGTCAGAAGGGTCTACTTAGGGACGGATAAGAAGGCATCGTAGTTCCGTTCCAGGGCACAGAATTGTTAATCGTGGTAGAGTTGAAGGTCACAAAAGACTTTATTGTAACTATTTTGCTACCCCTTGTGTATGTGAAAGTTTTGTTCGAAGGAGGTTCCGAATGAGTCATCCTTTTTTTCTCCGAATTGTAAATGAGGTTGAACAACACGATCTATACTTCATCCAAACAACAGATGCCGTTGGAATTCTCGGTTTGTCATCCCTTTAATAGATAATAGTTGCTTATAGAATTCTTGCTTACGAAACACCGACAAATTCTGTGGATGAATACATCATAATTGGAGAAAGCACTGTCATACAGAGTCTGAGAAGGTTTGTAAAAGTTGTTATTGCAGTGTTTGGCGACCATTACCTGAAGTCACTAAACAATATCGATATTGCTCAATTGCTACAGACAGGGCAACAACGTGGCTTTCCCGGCATGTTAGGGAGTATTGATTGCATGCATTGGGAAGTGACAAAATTGTCCTACAGCATGGCAAGGTATGTATACTGGTCATTGTCATGAACCAACAATCATTTTAGAAGCTGTGGCTTCTCAAAATCTTTGGATATGAGATGTGTTCTTTGGGCTCTCTAGTTCGCTGAATGACATAAATGTTCTAGATAGATCCTCTGTTTTTGAATTATTAGTAAATGATCATGCTCCTTCAATCAACTATATAATTAATGATCATGAGATATTATCTAGCTAATGGTATTTATCCAAACTAGTCAACATTTGTAAAAATAATTCCTTGTCCACAAGGTTTGAAGAAAAAATATTTTGCTAAAACACAAGAGTCGGCAAAGAAAAGATGTAGAGCGGGCATATGGGGTACTTCAAGCCCGTTTTGCAATTGTGCGTGGATCAACATGTTTTCGGGATGAAGAAACACTTGTAGATATTATGAAAGCGTGCATAATAATGCATAATATGATCATTGAAGATGAAGGAGACATTGATAACAATGACTTTGGTGGAAGTGATGCAAATCTGCCTGTAGAAGTGTCGCATGCGTATACACCAGAATTTGAAGACTTCATGCAAACCTATTGTCAGATCAAGGACAGTATTACTAATTCTCAACTGCAGTCAGATCTTATCGAGCATTTGTGGGAACGACATGGTGACTAATAATTTTCTCAATTTCAATGACCATATTATGTTGTGTTTTCAATTTTAATTTATATTNACCATTACCTGAAGTCACTAAACAATATCGATATTGCTCAATTGCTACAGACAGGGCAACAACGTGGCTTTCCCGGCATGTTAGGGAGTATTGATTGCATGCATTGGGAAGTGACAAAATTGTCCTACAGCATGGCAAGGTATGTATACTGGTCATTGTCATGAACCAACAATCATTTTAGAAGCTGTGGCTTCTCAAAATCTTTGGATATGAGATGTGTTCTTTGGGCTCTCTAGTTCGCTGAATGACATAAATGTTCTAGATAGATCCTCTGTTTTTGAATTATTAGTAAATGATCATGCTCCTTCAATCAACTATATAATTAATGATCATGAGATATTATCTAGCTAATGGTATTTATCCAAACTAGTCAACATTTGTAAAAATAATTCCTTGTCCACAAGGTTTGAAGAAAAAATATTTTGCTAAAACACAAGAGTCGGCAAAGAAAAGATGTAGAGCGGGCATATGGGGTACTTCAAGCCCGTTTTGCAATTGTGCGTGGATCAACATGTTTTCGGGATGAAGAAACACTTGTAGATATTATGAAAGCGTGCATAATAATGCATAATATGATCATTGAAGATGAAGGAGACATTGATAACAATGACTTTGGTGGAAGTGATGCAAATCTGCCTGTAGAAGTGTCGCATGCGTATACACCAGAATTTGAAGACTTCATGCAAACCTATTGTCAGATCAAGGACAGTATTACTAATTCTCAACTGCAGTCAGATCTTATCGAGCATTTGTGGGAACGACATGGTGACTAATAATTTTCTCAATTTCAATGACCATATTATGTTGTGTTTTCAATTTTAATTTATATTTTCAATTTCAAGTTGTACTTTCAATTCCAATTTTAATTTCAAGTTGTATTTTCAATACATAGTTTTTCATAAATAATAGCAACATAATAAATAATGACTACAAATTAAAAATAATAGCAACATAATAAATAATGACTACAAATTAAAAATAATAGCAACATAATAAATAATGACTAAAAATTAAAAATAATAGCAACATAATAAATAATGATTACAAATTAAAAATAATAACAACATAATAAATAACGATTAAAAATTAAAGTCCGGCTTTTTCATAATCTCTATCTTCAGGTTATTCCAATATGCTGCAGAAATTGAGTCCATGCCAGTAGTGTCAGTTTTCGTGATTTTCATTTCATTCTGCATTTCATTCTGTCTTTCAATTTCTTGCACCTGCCTTTCTTCAATTTTCTAACTGTCTATAATGTTGCTCCAATGTTATCTCCTGTTGAACATAAATTTTGTCGTGTCGCTTAATTTTTTGTCGTTCAACTTCCATTCTTTCATTCCAGTGGTGATGATCTAGTGATGCTTCAACACCGGTTTGTTTCTCTTTGTTTTTAAGTTGTTTCTTCGAAACATTTCTGCCTAATGGCCTGTCGAGATTGGGAGTGGACAAGGGTTTAGTGTCATCCCTTAAATATGGAGTTGAATAGCAAGATTCAACATGAGTTGATTCAGCAGGACTATCAATCTCATGAGTTTTGCTCTCTTATTGCTGGTAAGATTATCAGTCCATTTTCACTCCATTTTTAATATATTCAAACAATGATAATATTGAATTGGTTTTTTAATAATCTTAGCAAATATTTCTTTTGCGTCATCAACCTGAAAAACATATGAAATTATTCAGTCAATAATTCAAATATCAAATCACAGTAGTGTCTAAATTAAAAGTTTAATCATTATATTATTTTGTTTTGTGTGTCCACTTTATCGCAATTTTTCAATTTGACTATAAAAATCGACAAATTTGCCGCATTTTGCATTTATATCAGTCCAACGACTTTTAATAGAAGATTTGCGAACGTTCTTCATGATTGCCTCCATGAAGTTTTAAGTATTGTAATATTCTTTGCCAAANGTCAATAATTCAAATATCAAATCACAGTAGTGTCTAAATTAAAAGTTTAATCATTATATTATTTTGCTTGGTGTGTCCACTTTATCGCAAATTTTCAATTTGACTATAAAAATCGACAAATTTGCCGCATTTTGCATTTATATCAGTCCAACGACTTTTAATAGAAGATTTGTGAACGTTCTTCATGATTGCCTCCATGAAGTTTTAAGTATTGTAATATTCTTTGCCAGANAATACCTAAATTTGAGTAAAAAATAATTTGGTTAGCTCTTGATCAGAACTGTGTAATTTGGATAACTCTTTGATCAAAATTTGAACAAAAATTTAGTTCAAAGTTATCTAAATTATTTTTTTGTTCATATTTAAGGATTACGTGACAAGTTTATAATAAAAAATTATTAATNTCATTTGTGTTAAGCCACGCAGACATAATTAATTTATCTTCTTCTAAAGAGAAGTTCTCTGTCTTTTACGATTTTTCACTCTTGAAACGACTTCATTTTGTACTAGCGTCAATACTGTGGGATTGGTTTGCATAGCATCATCATATAAATCGGTGTTATTTATAAGCAAATCAGTGAATGAGCATAAAATAATCANTCATTTGTGTTAAGCCACGCAGACATAATTAATTTATCTTCTTCTAAAGAGAAGTTTTCTGTCTTTTACGATTTTTCACTCTTGAAACGACTTCATTTTGTACTAGCGTCAATACTGTGGGATTGGTTTGCATATCATCATCATATAAATCGGTGTTATTTATAAGCAAATCAGTGAATGAGCATAAAATAATCAATTAAAAAAAATATCCTTAATTAAAACAAATAAATCTGTCATAAATTATAAAAAATTATAAATTAAAACAAGAACGGGGGCAGATATAATTATAAATTATAAATTAAAACAAGAACTTATAAATAAAAACAAGAATAGGGAGCATATGTAATTATAAATTATAAATTAAAATAAGAACTTATAAATTAAAACAAAAATAGGGAGCAAATGTAATTATAAATTATAAATTAAAACTAGAACTTTTAAATTAAAACAAAAACAGGAGGGTAAATGTAATTATAAATTATAAATTATAAATTATAAATTAAAACTAGAACTTATAAATTAAAATAAAAATAGGGGGCAGATGTAATTATAAACTACAACTCCTACCCTTTCCCCTAAATAAAACGATTCCTATCATTCCCCTTAATCAGTTGTTTTCTCTTTCCTTTCCCCTTCCTCCCCTTCCCCTTACCAGACCAGACAATGGCAACAGGGCTATACGAGCACACCAACGGCAAGGGTCAAGGAAGCTAGGGTTTTCAATATCAAAGGCAAGGATTCAGTGAGCTATTTTCTGAAAGTAGTATACAAATAGATTTCAGGCAAGTCTCCTTTCCCTTCAATCTCTCTGTATTTTTATAAAAATTTTGAGTAGAATATAGCCGTTGAGGAACAGTAGCCACCGACGGCTATTTTGCAACCTTTCTATTCTCTCTCCAAAATTATCAAATATACCACACCAAAATCTTAGATGCCATTTTACCACCTCTAATGCCACCTCCATTGGAGTTCCATTTTTTGCAGTTGGGGGTGCCATTTTAGTGGTTATGGGGATGACACCCCTGATGACAACTTTCGTTGGAGTTGTTNCCACACCAAAATCTTAGATGCCATTTTACCACCTCTAATGCCACCTCCATTGGAGTCCCATTTTTTGCAGTTGGGGGTGCCATTTTAGTGGTTATGGGGATGACACCCCTGATGACAACTTCCGTTGGAGTTGCTCTAAATTCAAATCATAGTGATCAGTCTCTGAATTCGAAAAAGTAATCGATACAAATCTAAACTCCCCAAACTAAAAAAAAAAAAACTAGCAATGCCATATCTAAATTGATTGTGGAACATTTATATTTTAAATAATAGTTTTTTATTATTTTTTTGTCAAGGAGAGGTATGAAAGAGAGAATAGAGATGTATATATAAATAAGTAAGGTTGATTGATATTGAAATAATAAGAAAATAAAAATAGAGTTAATTACATTGGAGGTTTTTAATATTTTAATTGTTTTATTTTAATCCCAAAATATTTAATATATTTATATATCGTATCATAGATAATGTCCAAATTATTAACGATTTTTTTCTCATAAACTTATCACGTAATACCTAAATTTGAGTAAAAAATAATTTGGTTAGCTCTTGATCAGAACTGTGTAATTTGGATAACTCTTTGATCAAAATTTGAACAAAAATTTAGTTCAAAGTTATCTAAATTATTTTTTTGTTCATATTTAAGGATTACGTGACAAGTTTATAATAAAAAATTATTAATAATCTAAACGATGTCTGGTTGAGGGACCACATAGAAATATATTTAATATTTTAAGGATTAAAATGATGTAATTAAAATATTATGAATTAAAATGAGATAAATCCTATATTTTGGGACTCAAGTGTAATTAACCATAAAAATAAATTAAAATTTTAAAATTTAAAGTTTCCCTACCAAATCAGAAAAGTGGAGCCGCGACAAACGCAGGCTAAAGATCTACGAAAGTCTGAGCTGGAACAACGCAAGTGCCAAAGGTTTTTGACCCTTTAGGTAGAAAGAATACCTGTTCCTGTGGTCAGATCGAGAGAGAGAGAGAGAGAGAGAGAGAGAGAGACGTTGATGGTGTAATCTCCAAAAAAAAAACTTGCCCATTTCATCCCTTTTTGTGTGTGTATTCACTTTGTTTCGTCTTCTTCTTCTTCGTGTAATTGAATACTCCGATGGTGGCAGCAATAAGGTCGATTCTGTTTCTCTGCATCTTTGCCTATTCTTCGCTACGATGTTTCTCATCAATATCACCGTCGATGTGCCCTCACACGTCGGAAACGTTGTTCCTCAACACTCTTCACTCTCAATGCCCTCTTTCTTATTCTCCCAATTCGCCTCTCGAGGTAGGTTCACCTCTACTTTTACTCATATCCCTATTGACTATATCTAGAATTCATCACTTTTAATTTTGAAAATCAACTTGTTTTATGAATGCATAGCTTATGCATTGGTTCATAATTATAACTCCCAATTTGTTTTTGAGAGAGTTTTCGTGGAGTTCCCATACTGGGTTCGTCCAATTGCAATAGATTTTTGTGTCTTTGGCGTATTTTTTGCAGATTATCTTCTGATATTCATTATGGTGGGTAAATTGTTTCACCCAGTTTTTTTATATGTGAAATTCAGAAGGTTTTGGGTTAATTAGAAAAGGGCTTTTCTTGTTATTGGTATCAACAAATGTTTTTCTTGATTAGGTTTGATTAGGGTTTGTAGTCTGGAAATAAGAGAATCAGTCGGTCAAAAAGCATCTTATGTGATTCATGTAGTGACTACTTTCCAAGGGAGGGGAGCACGTTTTATTGATTGCCTTTTGGAGTTAATATGTATTTTGCTTAGTGGTGTTATGAAAAATCCAGTTGTTAGTATAGAGAATCAAGTTGTTCATGTTTGGACCATCTTTGTTTGTTGTTATTGCTTTGGGTTTTTTATAAATGTTGTGTATTGTAGAAAGAAGAGGGCCGATAATACTTTTTGGGGTGCTAAAAGCACATGAATATGGGAGGCCGGTTACATTAAGTTATAATATTTATTCCCCTATAGTTGTGTCAATGCTTTAGTTATATGAAGATGCCTCTTTTAGTTTTAGCATTTAATTTATTAGTTAGGGGGTTGTTGCGGAGTGCTTGCTCATAGACTTCTTTAACCATTTGTTTTTCTTGAATTATAGTCTTTCCGTGAGAAGTCAAAGATGAGAACTTGTCACATTGCTTTTTCTAGAGGACTGACTGCTATGCTTTCTACCTGGTGCAGCAGAAAAAA